ATATATATAAAAGATAATATAATATAATATAATGGAATCCATATTTTTATACTTAATTTTTATTTCAATATTACTAAAATAAAATAAAAATCATGTACTTCGATACTACTTTTTTTTTTCTCACCCTGAAAACTACCTTTACTACCAAGCCGACTTCCTAACTTTATTTTTATGTTTTTTCGTTTTTCATTTAATTTCTCTAGTTTTCTTTAATTAATTATTAATTAATAAAATATAAAAATACTTTATTAATAATTGCAATTATTTTATGCGTTATAAAGTGGTGCTATTTTCCTACTCTAATTAGAATTAAAAATTAACAAACACACAACTTTATGTTAATAAATCCTTATGAACTTGATGAGTTATTATTATTTTTTTCTTAAGGGGTGTAACTCCTTTCTATGGGCGGCCACTATAGTGTAAAGTAGTATTTTTTTCATAAAGGGGTGTTATTTCTTTCTATGAGGTGTGATTTAAACTCTGATTTTTGGTTAAAAAATACAAATTATTTAAATTTGTTTATTTAATTTATGAATTTTTTTATGGCTTCAATTTGTTGATTTAATTTATGGATTTCATAATCCTGAAAAGAAAAGAAAAAGTCAAATGGAATGATTTATCCTTAGAAAAACGTTGACATGGATTGTCATGCAATCTTTGAGTGGATTGCAATGAAAAAATTACCCTAGATTTGCTTCTATTTGTCAGTGTTTTTTTTAGCGTGTTATTACCATTTTTGTGTGCGTGAGAAATTTTCGCGATTTAAATTTAGTTAATGGATAAGGATGCGTTTGTGAGGTTTTAGCGTCAGTATTCTTGATTTTCTAATTTTAAATTTCCAAATATAGCAACCCTGTTGAACTATTTTTTGCGGTTTGAGAAGGAAGACATCCTTTTACCTTCCTTCCATGCTCCTATTTTTGGGAGATTCATTTGGGAGGGAAAGGGCTTTGGTTTCTGTTGTAAGTTGTAAGCTTAATTGGATAAGGTTTCTCGAATGAACAAATTCTGCTTTGTGTATGATTTAATCAAGCTGCATTATATATATTTATTTTTCATTGTTTTCCAATTTCCATTCGTGAACCTGAATTATTATGCAGGAAATCAAGCATGTCAAAATTTCACTGCATTCCGCGTGGTTTGGATTTGAAAACCTATTTATTCATGTTCGTTGTGGTTCCAATGTGCGTCTTGGGAATCTACATACATGGTCAGAAAATCTCTTACTTTCTTCGCCCAATATGGGATAAACCTCTGAAGCCTTTCAATGTTATCCCTCATTACTACAACGAGAATGTCACAATGGAGAATCTGTGCAAACTTCAAGGGTGGGGCATTAGGGAGTACCCTAGACGAATTTATGATGCTGTGTTGTTTAGCAACGAGTTGGAAATACTCACCTTGCGTTGGAAAGAATTGTACCCTTACATAACCGAATTTGTTCTTCTGGAATCCAATTCCACATTCACAGGGTTGCCTAAGCCTCTGGTTTTCAACAGCAACAGGGAGCAGTTTAGGTTTGTGGAGCCGAGGCTAACTTATGGCACAATTGGTGGCAGAATCAAGAAAGGGGAAAACCCTTTTGTTGAGGAGGCTTATCAGCGTGTGGCGTTGGATCAGCTTCTTAAGATAGCTGGTATCTCTGATGATGACTTGTTGATTATGTCTGATGTTGATGAGATTCCAAGTGCTCACACTCTCAACCTCTTGAGGTGGTGTGATGACATACCCTCAATTCTTCATTTGCAATTGAAGAATTATCTCTATTCCTTTGAGTTTCGTGTGGATTACAAGAGTTGGAGGGCTTCAATTCATAGGTATCAAACTGGTAAGACGAGGTATGCACATTATCGCCAATCTGATGATATATTGGCTGATTCTGGCTGGCATTGTAGCTTTTGCTTCAGAAGAATCAGTGATTTCATTTTTAAGATGAAGGCCTATAGCCACTATGATAGAGTCAGATTCTCTCATTTTTTGAATCCTGAGAGGATTCAGAGAGTGATATGCAAAGGGGGTGATTTGTTTGACATGTTGCCTGAGGAGTACACTTTCAGGGATATCATTGGTAAAATGGGACCAATACCCCATTCCTATTCTGCAGTTCATCTTCCTGCTTTTCTTCTAGAAAATGCTGACAAATATAAATTTCTATTGCCTGGAAATTGCATGAGAGAAAAATGATCATGGAAAATGGTTAGTCATTTTGTGATACTGGCTTGTTCAACTCAAGTGACTCTCTTTTACCAAGTTTTAACTGAGGTTGTGATCAATGTGTCACTATAATTGTCCAGTGAGATTATAATTCGTTAATTTAAGATTACTAAATTCTTTAATCTAGGAGGAATTTTGTATGTATTTTAGAGCTGGACTTCAGCCAAGGGGAGCATGCGTTCATCAACTGTGTTTATTTGGTATTAGTGTGATTGATCCGCATTTATACAAGAGAAATTTAAGGTTCCCCACTTTTTCCTGTTTGGGGTGTTTTGTTTGTTATTCTTTGTTTATGCTATATATGTCTAATCCGATTGCTTGGTCTACATATTCGCAACAATGTCCACTCAGTTTTTCGAGTTATATATATAAATTAGGAATAACCGGGTCTCTATGTATTTATTTAAAACAAAAGTAAAATAATAAAAATTATGGAGTGAGTAGTTTGTAGTTGAGAGAGTATTTTGAGAGTGATTATAAAGATAGAAAAGTCTAAAACAAAAAGGAAAAAAAAAACTTATTTAAGACAAATTAAGAACACAACTTATTTATAATTTTGGTGTAAAAAAACTTATTTTTAATTTATAACTATATGTAAATATACACGTGATATAAAAACTCATGTAGAACATAGAGTACATGATTTATTCAAATGCAGAAAATGAATATTGTTATGCTTAATTTATAAAAAAAATGAAATGAATTAATATGAGTATATATGTGCGTTTTATATGTCTGAAAATTCTTTGACGTCTGAATATTGCTCTAGGAAATCATCTTTTAAGTGACAAAACTTAAGGTATTAATTTTTTTATTTATAATTGTACTGATTTCAAATTGAAATTAAAATTTTACTTTCATAATAATGCCAATTTTTAATGCACACATTCTTGAAGTTAAATTTCTAATTTGGATTAATAAACAACATCACACTTTAAGGCAGTGTACTAATTCTTTTCGCTTTTAAATCTCTTACCTAAATATTCTAAGAACATGTGTATAAAACTCCAAATTTAATTATCAAACTTCAGATTGAGTTATTGAATAAATTTTTCGACAAGTAGATGTAATTATTTAACCATTTGAGAAATGCGATATGCGAGTAAATATTTATTCCTGGATGCTATGGAAGATCCAACTTCTTGTTCTCATCCTAATTAATGACTATCCCAAGATTTCTTTGTGCTGGCTAGTATATATTTTTAAGAGTTAATCACCTATATATTGTTAGTGTAAAAATTTTTTATACTGACAACTAATTAGATCTTTTAATTGTGTCATGTCACTATAAATACATTTATTTTTAATAGTGACATGACATCGTTAAAAGATCTAATTGATTGTCAGTGTAAAATTTTTTTACACTGACAATATATAGGTGATTAACTCTATTTTTAATATAAATATGAGTATCTTTATTAAAGGATATTTTAATCAAGACACTAATGACATGAGAGATACTTTTATATAAGATACAATTAATACTAAATGTGAATACGTACTCTCTTAGTAGGAATTCAAATATCAATTATTTTTTTGGCTAGATCCAGACGTTAATAAGTGATACACATTTCATGGATACACTTTCATCCAAAATTTTAACTTCAGGTGCTATTAGGTTTATACATAAATTCATCAGTAAATATAAACTATGTACTACGTACGTGTTTAATGATAGGCAATCCGAATTAATTAAATTTATTTGATTTGGATTGATACATATTTTCTAATCTAATTTAATTATTTCAGTTTATATTATTAATTACATTCTTCAGATTCACCTGATGCGATAAATACTTCTATAATTTGGTAGCTATCACAGTTAAACAGTTAAATTCATCCGGACATTGTTAAGTTATCGATTCATTGCCCTTAACAACACGTGCTTCAAATTTTATATACGTTATCATCATAATTGTCTGATAATAACTTGTTGGATAAAAATCTATTTTGGTCCCTTATAATAATTGTTTGTTTCAATTTAGTTCCACTTTTATTTTTTATTTTAATTTGGTCCTAAATAAATTAATTGGTTTCAATTTGGTCCTAATAAATTAATTGGTTTCAATTTGGGACTTCCGTCTAAATTATTTAAACGGAGTTAACTGTTGGTCACGTGGATGTCACGTAGATTCATAGGTAGATGCCACGTGGATGCCAATTTTTTGAAAACACCTTGAACCAGAACGACCCGTTTTGAAACTAGAACGGGCCATTCTGGATGCACTCTTGGTGTGTTAATTTTGCATCTGAAACGGGTCGTTCCAGATGCAAAATTAGCACACCAAGAGTACAGGGGACAACTTCCCAAGGACAGTTTTTCAACAAATTTGGGCTCTCAAACTACCACAACTATCTCAATCCACACAATGAGATGAGCAACTTCAAAAAATTCTCCTCTAGTCCTAGTGATCAACAACTCATCATGACTTATTAGATGGATGTATATAAAGTCATTTCTTAAAAAGTAAACTTCATAAGTTTATTTATTAAGAACTTAAAGATAGAAGGAGTCTAGAGAGAAAAACTCTAGAATTGATGAGATTTTTTTTTCTCCTACTGACTTCTTTGAGAATGTAGATCCTTCCTCAAAGTGTGGTTTAGTTGTTGTATTAAGATCCAAGGTGTTAGAGAACTAAGAATTGAGTTGTGGCCAATCATATGTGGAGTTGCCTCGGAGAATTTTATTCTTCCTTTCTACCTCCATTCTTGTTGATTCAAAGGTAAAGGGAACATGCAACTTGTTGATTTTGTGTTGTTCTTGTTGAATTCTACTTGAATCATTCTTGAATTGTTGAACTATGTTATTGATTTGAGTTAAGATTGGGGTTTTGTTGTTCTAGAAGCATATTGAGGTGAATGTGATGATTCTACTTAATTGTTGGTTGAATGTTGTGTTTTTGGTTGGAATTAAGTTATTTATGATGAGTAGATGTAGTTTTTGTCACTGCATGTTGGTATCTTATAATTTTTAGGTGAAGGGAACCAAATTAGTGATTCTACCAAGTGCAAAAATCACCATTGTACTAAGTGCAACTTTAAAACATCGTGCATGATATAGGTTAGAGGCTCTATGTCTCATTGACATCGAGCACGATATTGTTAGTGTTAGGCGTAAATTAGATGAGAGTTTTGACTTGGTCACGTTTGACGTGAGTTAAGGGGCACCAAACTTGATCAAGACATAAGTTCTTTGCTTGGATGACATCGAACGTTAATGTTGTGATGCTGGGTGTGAATTAGGTAGAGGCTTTCTACTTGAAATGAGGTTGGGCATAGGTTTTGCTACTCTAGGCGAGACTGACATAAGAGTCTCTACCTAACCTACACTAGATGCAAGTTGAGTGGTATTGGACATGAGCGAGTCAGAGGCTCTTTGCCTCAATGATGTTGGGTGCGGGAAAAATGGTGTCAGGCGTGAGTTGCTAAATGAAAATGTGTTGTTTATTTGGCTAAGTATTGCACATTGTGTATAAGTGGAAAACTCACATGTTATATGTTGTTGTATGACTTTAATTCCTTGTATATTGATCTAGGATGATGCATGTGAATTTTTAAGTTGTAAGTTGAATGAAAGTTGAGTTGTATGTTGTGGAGTGTTAAGGTGACTGTGTTGAGAATGCTAAATGCATCTAATTAAGTTATGTTGATTGACTTAGAATTAATGGAGAGGTATTATTTTAAAAGTTAAATACCATATTGTGAGGGTATGATGTTGTGGTACTCTACTACGAGTTTAATTGTTGAAAATCTTTTTTGAGAAGTTGATTCTTGAAGTGAAATGTTAAGTCTCTTCTACAACCATAGTTGATGTCATATGGGGTCGAGTCAAGGTATATGTATATAAAGCGACCAATGTAGGTCTGTATGAGGGCAAAGTTGAGTCATACATATGTATAAAGTAATCAAACTGAGTAAGGTTCAAAAAAATTCCTAACTAAGTACCGAAAGGGACGTAACATTTGGAGGGTAGTCAACGGACTAATCCCATTTAGACTTAGTTATGCATGTTAGGATCATGGTAGACTCATACTTAAGTTGTCTTACGTTGATAGAAATACTAAATTTTTCTAATTTAAGTGGCAAAATCCAATAAATCATGTGTTAAGGATTTTCATTCAAATTTGTTGTTGATCTAGTAAGTTCAAAAAAGATTGTGTTATTAAGTTGGTTCAGTAGGGTCAAATCATTTAAATTACTCATTTGTGTTATAAGAAATCTTTTAATTAAAATGTGTGATGTCAAATTGTATTATTATGTTGATGAGTTATGGAGTTGGTATGTATTGATATATAAAAATATTATTGTCTAAATTATTGTGTTATAAACTATATTATTGATTAACTGTTGCATTAAATAGTTGTAACTTTCACAAATGAAATTAATATGTTTTATGTTATATTATAAGTTAACATTTTAGTTGATAAGTTGAGGTTTCCTACCATTTTGGTGACACAGGGCTATATATATATTTCAAAAGGTCCAAATAAAATTTGCTTAAGAGAGTAGAGGTGTTCATAAGGGAGCCACTAAAACGGTGAAACCCCACTAAACCAAGCTTCTTACAATTTATATGCAATTTCATGATTTCTCTAAAGCAAAACAAAAGCGTAAAACACAGACAAAATTTATGGCTACCTACCTTTTTTCTTTTTTTTTTAATATTCCCTGCATCAATCAATTGTCACCATTTCCTGTAGGTATTTTTAAGGTAGAACAAGTAGGATAGGTGTGGTGCAAGCACGGTTTCATTCATTGGATCATCACAATGAGAAGAAAAGTTTGAGTATCTTATCATTTTGAGTTGAAACTTATACATTCTCAAAGCATTCTGTCTTTTTTCTACTTTTGATGCTTAGTAAGTCCAGATGCTTTGTACCTTGAGTCTTTTTCCTTCCATGATTCACAAAGCGTGAACTATAATCATTGATTGTTTATATTTAGTAGTCTGGAACCAGAACGGCCCGTTCTGAAACCAGAACGGGCTGTTCTGGTTTCAGAACGAGCCGTTCTGGTTTCAGGTGTTTTCAAAAAAATTGGCATCCACGTGGCATCTACCTATGCATCTACGTGGCATCCGCGTGGCCAACAGTTAACTCCGTTTAAATAATTTGGACGAAAGTCCCAAATTGAAACCAATTAATTTATTAGGGACCAAATTAAAACTAATTAATTTATTTGGGACCAAATTAAAATAAAAAAAATAGAACTAAATTAAAATAAATAATTATTATAAGAGACTAAAATAGGTTTTTAGCCTAACTTGTGTCTTCTCTTAAAAA